GGAGTGTCACAACAAAACTCAGACAAAGTGAATATAAAAACCACAGGTTTCTAAACACATTCAGGAGACAGCTGGGAAATTTGCATGAAAATTAATATGAGAAACTCCAAGCAAGATGGATTTAATTTGTTAAAAATCTCGGCACTAGAACACAGATGACAGAACAGATATTAAATGAAATCAAATGAAATTGTAACCATAACTATACAGCACTATTATATACCATTATTGACATGGCAGCAGGTTTGCTTCAAATGAAATAGCTCCATATGTCCAGAAAGCCAAAAACATGTCATCCCCTCTGAGTCTATGCCAGGCATCTGTTATTATTTATTGATATGATGACCCACTTTACCAGCAGGATATCATTACCACTTTCCAGTAATGAAGATGCCACACTGTGTGGAGGTCTTGGTTTTCTTTTCTACCCGACCAGGTGCCTGATGTGGATGTTTTTCTTTGTTTGATAAAGTTTTTGAATCAGCAATTTTTAACTATTTTGGTACATTGTCAAGCCAAATATTTCCAGCTGCTCAAATGTGAGATTCAGTGGGGTTTTTTGTCATATATGATAATGAACTGGATATCTTTGGGTTGGACTGTTGGTTGGACAAAACAAAGAATTGGAATATGCCATCTTAGGCTCTGGGAAATTATAAATCCTACTATTCATTGAGCAAGCAATTTCTGTGTTGAAAATTGATGATTTCAGTACTGGATTTAAAGCGTTGCAGGTACAGAAACTGGGACAACTTAATGTTTAAGTATCACATATCATCAGCAAATAATAATAATAATGTAGGTGTCAGGTACGGGAAGTGTTGTCACATGAGCCAGTAGTTTAAGCCTTAAGGCCTATGAATCAGGACCTAGCCATACAGTCGACTTAGCAGATTAGTTAACACCATACTGTGGTTCCCTCTTTGAGTTCCTCTTTGTCCATGACCCTGTTAGAGCATTTTCTGACCCATTTTTGGTACCTGACCTACCAGCCGAGAAACACTGCCTCTAGTGAGGTTGTTTGTTTCCAAGGAGGCTTGATGCCTTGTGATCCTGAAAGTGTGTCACCCTTTGACTTGCCATATCATCGAGCATTGCACACCTTTTGACTCTAGACAGATGCTTTGTGCAGGACTCAAATCCTGCAGAGGACTCTGTTAACTTTGGGTGTGACCTGGTTGATTGATACTGTTTTCCCTGGGCATGGTTATGTGTTGCCCTTTGGCATACATGCATGCTAAATAGGACAGTTTGACATGTTGCACTGCGGCTCGACTGGCGATAGACTCAAAAGGAAAAGTGCAGCTGTTGCCCCACTTCCGTGTTAACATGAAGACATATTTATGTGTGCTTGCTCCTGCTGCTGTGCATGTACATTTGTTTGTCATGTGTTGTGCTCTGTTGGCAGCCAGCGGGACTGGCAGGTGTCATCCGTGCCTCCTTGCAGTTAAGTTTTACGAGGGCTTTTGTAGGTGTGAGGTTGCTGTTCCCGCTGTCAGCAGCACGCTGTTACAATCCCTGACCTCGGCCCGCAAAGTCAGTCTCACTGAGCTCCAGATCTATTGTTGTAGGACTGTGTGTCTCGGTAGCTAAGCAGCAGTTGGCATGCAGCCACGCTGAGCTCTGTGTCATGCAGAGTTGCAGGGGCCAGAAGCTTAGTCAGACACACTTAAAAAATTATACACACGCCCATACATATAACACATGTGTACGAGTGAGGCCAATTTGAAGCAAATTCCTCAGCCAGTTTAATGATCAGTAATTTGAAATACAAAATGCATGTTTTTCCTCAATGAAAGCCTCTTTAAAGCAGTTGACACATGGTTGTTTCTCCATGTAAGTGAAGTAAGTAGAGAAATCAAAGGTTAAATTAAAGAAAGTAAAAACTGTCAATCAAAATTATTCCTGCTTCTACTCCGCCGCTCATTATTATGAATGTAAAATGTCTATTAGTGGAGCTTTGAATATTACAACAGACATCACTCATCATTAGTTAAATGGAAATGTCTGTAATGCTTAAGTCTAATGTTAAGCTTCAAACTCTTCCCCATACTTTTGGCCTCTTTGGGTATATATTGCTGCACTGAGAAACGGTGAGTTGATGTCCTTGAGCTACAGGAGAGAGCAAGAGGAAAGACAGTTTGTGATTGAAGAATGAGTTACTGCTGCTGCTGCTGCTGCTGCTGCTGCTGCTGTTAGAGTTGTTCTGATACTGATACCAGTATTTGAATTGCCTTCAATACTGCCTAAAATGCTTGATGGAGTACCAGCAAGTATGTCAGTATGGTGGCTATGCAACGATCCATTACCATAATAAACTTTAAAGTAGTTTCACACCCGGATTAAACAGCTGTTTCCCCGGAAATCAGCTCCTCGTAGCCTACACAGCAAGTTAAACTGTGCAGCCACCGGCAGCTGCTGATTTAGAGCAGCGAAGAAGAATTGATTTCTAGTGAATAACGTACTGTAACATTAGCAAAAAGTCAGTTATTTGGCAGCGGCTATGGCATTCATTTTCTGTATGTATTTGTTTATATTTTACACAGGGTTTAACTTGTGCCAGGCCAAACGATGCTAACAGTCATTTCATATTCATACACGGTTACAGCTATCAATTCTTTTAGCACACTTATATCAGATCAGTACTCAGTGTCAGCTGATAGGCAAGTTCAGGTATTGGATTAGGTACAGGGAAGGGGAAAAACAGGGTATCAGAACACCTCTAGTTTTTGTTGAGTTCAAAAGTTGAGACAGGAAGATAATTCAGCACTCTGGACTCTGGATGTGTCCATTAACAGGACCTACTGCACTCAGACCTTTATGTCTTTTGGTCCTCAGCGTCTGGATCCATAGGTAAAAAATCAATTCCTGGCAAGTCAGCCAACAGCTCCCTCGATGCTACTGACTGTGTGCACATGTGAGTGTACTGAGAGGATTTCACATGCACACGATTTAGTGTTTTAGTATGCACTGACAATGCTGCATGTGTGCATGTCTGCGGGATTAACCCCTTCTGTCAGGGGAGCAGGTGGGGCCGAGGGGCTGAGGCTTACATCCAGTTTTGCAGTTCAAACACATCCGTCCTCACCTCCCCCTTCTTTCTGCACACTCATCCAGATCCTCCATTTTGCTGTTATTGCCTCCATCCAGAATAAAACCTCCCCACTCCACCCTGACCTCAGAAAAAGCTGAAAAGATTCAGAGCCATTCTTACCACCTGCTGAACTCTAAAAGATGTTGCTGGATGAAGTACAAGAAGTGCTTAACTTAAATGTGTTGAGCCGTGGTGTGATTTCTATCTGTGCCACCACTGTTTCACCTCCACCCATTCTCCCTCTCACTGTGTGTGTGATGAAGCTGTTTATAACTCGCAGCTCTACCGATGCTGTGGTGTGATCACTGAATATAGATCTGTTGTTAACACAATGCTAACACCCTTGTGAGCGAGATATCGGGATGTGAGTTCTAGCTCCAAGTATTACTTCTTCAGGTGTGAGGGAGGGAACAGTTTGTGTGACTGTGAGGATGCATGAGCAGGTTGGTTTTCAGTGACACTTTAAAACAGGCCCAACAGATGACATCTGGTTAAGTTCTGAAATGCTTACTGAACTCAGGCATCTCAGTACATGTTAGCTAGTACTGAATGATGCTTCTGTTTGACAACACGTCTAAAATACTTCCTTGGAAGGCCTCTGTGTGAACTTCTCCCACTTGGTCTAATGGGACTGTATCTGCCTTCCTGCTCTTCAGCGAGAGTGTTTAGAATAAAAGCCCCGTATCCCTACTCATCATCAAAACACTTTACATCCCATGCTTTATTCATGCGTGGCTTAGCATTCTCTTAGCAGCAAGGCACTCTGGGAATTGTAGGAGAAATATCGTGCCTCATATGAGGAGGGCTGCCTGGAAATGAAGTGATGATGTTATTGTTTCTGTTCTGCTCTTGTTTTGAGAGATGGCGTAGCATATTTATATTCTGCTTTTTTTTTTGTCCACTGAGAGGATGAGAGGAGGAGGTCATACAAGAAGGGTCTTGAGTTAAAGCCATGATACCCTTAGCTTGTTGTGACAGGAAGTTCATCCTCTCCTTTTTCTCATGCCTTCTTCTTTTCTCACACATGCTTTCGTTCTCTGCTCCTCGCTGTGATTTCCTGTGTATTTAGAGAGCTGTGTGTGTTTTTGAGTCATCCTCTGAAGTCAGCATTTACAGACACCCACCTCACTCAGCAAGAATAATAAGCCACATGTACTCCTGACCTTAGTCATATCCCTGATGCTCTGATGAAGGCCTTTTTATTTGAAACTTTGCAAGAAAATCTTGGGAGGTGTGAAGTGTGTGGGGGGTGTATTTGCATTTTATCTACCGAGCGATTTTAGCCATGGAAGTCTTAAAGGGGTAGTTTTGTTTTCCTCATTTTTTTCTGCCTTCTCTTAAGGCAGTTGATTGGTCAATGGAGGAAAACTGTCTGCACAAGTTATCTTGATTAACGAAATCGCCACAGTGCACTGAGTGTACATTATCATGTGGCACTGTGTGTCCACTAAAGCATTATTTCACACACTTGCCCAGGGCAAATTAACTCTCTGTTAGTGCCCTGAGTGAAATATTAATATGATCTCCATTGTAATAATGTCTGAAAATAAACTGCACACATTTAACACTTTTCCACCTGATCTGCTTGCACAAGTCCGTCTCAACACTAAGTGTTAAACAGAATTGAGGAGAAATATCTGACATACCAGACACTATAGAAGTTAACTCAGTAACACATTAAGTATCTTAGAGACTTGCTATTTTTAGTCCACTAGTTAACATTTGCCATCCTGCCACTTCAACAAGAGCTCCGGTGTGATCTGTGGCTGTGAGTGCTGTCCACCTGCATGAAATTAAACATGAACTGAAATCTGTAGAAATCTAAATCTAGAAAACACATGAAAGAATAAGATAAGATAATCCTGCTTCTTCAATTTGTGTTAACCCTTTCCTTTTCACTCTGCAGGACGGGACCAGTGGTGCTGCGAAAGACGGACACATGAAGCATGAGAGGGTGGAGCTGAGGCTCAGCTGACCCTTCCCCTTCCTTCTCCTCCTTTCCCCTGTGCTCCATCCGATCAGCACCTCCCTCCCCCTCCCTTCCCCTCCTTTTCCCTTCCTGTGTCCCTCACCCTGTTGGATCTCACCCATCTTGCCTCCCCTCCTCCTCCTCCACCAAGCCTCAATCAGCCGTGCCCAATGTACTCCCCGGAGCAGGAAAACATCTCCACCACCGCCTCCACCAAAGTGCCAGTGAAGTACGGAGAGCTCATTGTGCTTGGGTAAGCAGTAGTTAATTACATCTTTACATCCAGAAGACACCTGTGAACATATCCTAATGTCCTCAGGCTGTCCCAGGCTCAGAGCTGTAGTTACGTTATGTTGAGTAGCTGTAACGTCACCTGTGTGTATTGGCCACGACTGTCTGTATTGGTCTCTGTTGGATCTACAGTATGAGTCATGGCTGATAATGGTTGGATGTGTAGGTCGCAGAGTGTTGGCTGCTCTAGCTCAGTTCAATCAGTGTTTCCAACACTCCCAGTGTTTGAGTGAGTTTGGAACCACATGAATTCACTCTGCTCATGGACCTGAAAATGTGACCTACCCATGTGTATTTTGTGGTTTGAGCTCTTTTAGTGTATTAACTGAAGACAATTACTGAAGCATACATTTTTGAAACCATTCACCTCCCAGCCATAATTCTGACAATATGCAGTTTGACAGTGTTTTTCACCCAAAAACAATATAAATTGTATATGGTACTCATCTCCCTATGGTCCTTATGTGATCCCAGAAAAAGGTTTTCTATTGAATGGCTTCAAGGCAAGTGAAGTGTGTGAAAAATGAAAGCATATTACATAAGACTTTCTGAAAAGTCCTGTGCATCATTATCCAAGTGTCTTGTATCCATTTGTGGACTCATGGAAATCCAAGTATTTTTGCTTAACTATTGCAAAACAAAACACAAGAAATGCTTTGTTTCAGCCTCAGTCGAAGTTTATTTGCACTGATGTGTTGTCATATTGTCGGGCATGCTGTCATTCAATGAAAACCTTCTTCTGGGACCATAGAGAGCTTAGGGAGGTGAGTACTTTGTGTGAAGTACATACAATGTACATGAGCCATTTTACACATAGATGCTGGGATAGTGCCGCTACGAAGTCCCTTCTGTATACCACCTTAGCTTTTTTTATACAGAGCCAAACAACGGCAGCATAATGCCATCCCACTGTGTGAGTCTAGATAGCATGCCAGCATTCCAAAAGCAAAAGAGGCCTGAATTGTGACATATAACATATGTGCTGGGCAGTGATTTCTAAAAATAATAATGACTTAACATGGCAATAACTATCATCTACTGTCCCTGTTATGAGGCTGATGAGCTCATCCTCTGATTGGAGTGTACGGAGCTCCTGCACCTCATTGTTTTCCCAATTTGTGGACATTTTCAGATGCTTTTCTTCCTCTTTGAGTTAGCTGCTAACTGCTCCAAGCTGCTTTTTACATCTCCTGGCAGAGGTTGGCACATAATACGTCGTCAAAACGTCATACCTGTCCCATCCATTGTCCCGTCCTGCTGGCTGTCCCATATACACAGACATCGACAAAGAGCTGTTACTACCTTCGCTGCCGGCTTAAAGGCAAGATAACTCTGTACCCCCATTCGGCAATCACACCTTTAATGAAGAGCAGCTATGCAGAATTCTTACCTTGAACAGAAGGTGTAAAAGGCGCTTTTGTCTTTGAATGAACTTTTCCTTTAATCTTCCTGTATGCATCAAGAATTACTCACAAGACACAAAACACATTCCTGTTGCTGATTTTACAATATCAGGCTGTGTGACAGTGGAGATAACGTGCACAGAAGAATAGTGAGCTAACAAAGACAGGAAGGAAGACTGCTTGCAAGTAAACATGCATGTTAAGATTTAAAATATTCAAAAAATTTGTCATGGAAATGCTTTTATGAGGAAGGAAATGTATTTGACTCATTGTTACACCTCAAAGAGGCATTTTAGTAAGAAACATTAAATGTGTTTATGTTTGTTTACTAGGAAACGGGGCTCCTTTAACACACAGTGAAGCCTTAATTACAGTGATGCAGATGCACAGTCTGAACAATAATTAAATCCTAACTTCAGAACAATGGAAATAGTGGTGGCAAAGAGTAAAAGAGCTATTGTTGTGGTAAAAGACTGTAGGGAATATAAAGTAAGGATTTAGATGCACTTTGGTTGGTTAATAATTGTGTTGATATCCTCTAATAAGATAAGCAAACAAAGTCTTTAAATAATTCGAGTTGACCACAAGATGTGAACAAATGCAGCGATCCAGGAAATCAAACAGAGACGCTTTCCCAGAAACAACATAAACAATAGTGCTATTTTTGACCGGTTGCACAGGGACATGGACTCAGAGTTCACACAGAAAGGATAGTTAAAGAGTGGGACTCTAGTATTTTTGGAGATTAACTGCATCATTTGAGATATTACAAGATGAGATTAATTTTGTACACGAGCGGCACAGGATACTTATCGTTAACACCTTGGCTCTGTCTTCGTCCAGAGATTTGTTTTGACTCAAGTCCACATTCTCAGCTGTAGGAAAATCCTTCCACACCGCACCCTGCATCTTCAGCATAGAAGACATTTAACTGCACACACACATTCATACACACTTTCTCCAATAACAACTCACAGTGAAGGACTTCCTTTATCTGTCTGTCTCCTGTTTATTCCCCAAAGGGCTATTCCACTCCACTCCCCGTCCCAGCCCACTCCACAGAGGAATGCAGATGTCGGAAAAACTCCTCACACACACACTGTCTTGTGCACGTACAACATATACACACACATTTTTCATGTCTCACACAGACACAAACACAGTTGGTTTCACAGCTGACTCACAGTTTGTTGTGCTGGGTTGTTCTGGAGCGGCATTGTCAGGGAGATGACCGACCGTGGAAATTTTCCCTAGTGGAAAAACGCAGCGAGCAGTTAACGCAGCTCCATGCCTTTACAAGGGAGAACCCCAGTTTTCCGTTTGGCTCTGCCTTTTCCGCTCCTATTTTTTATTCTAGGTCAGGCCACACTTTTTAAAAGGTCAATGGGGGCACTTTTTGCTGGATGACACACGCTGTGCTGCTAGAAAAGACTGCTTTAAGTGTAGTGAACATTTTAACAAGCATTACAGTATGTTTTGTGTGAGAGTGAGTCAAGCCCCGAACTCTGAAGTGAATCCATCACTGTGACACTGTGACAATAATCTGTGATTCATGCAGTATAAGCCACATAAGGTCACACCAACAGAGAGGGCTCTTTCTCCTTGTCAAGCATGGAGCATGTAACCTACTACATTAGCATCAGGACGCTCAGGACCCTAATGTGACACCAACTTAAAGGACTTGTCTTGTAATCAAACAAAAGTTGTGTACACATTTATAAACGCAGTGTGTATCCTTGAGGCCTGACAACTATGTTGAGTACACTTTCCTCCTTATAAAACAGTTGTAAAGCCATTTTTAAAATATTTAAAATTGTGCCACCTTTGCATCAGTGTTAACTAGCTTTCAATCTCCATCTTCCTTATCTCTCTGAGGTTCTGAGGTATGCAAGATTCAGAAGTCTGAAACCAGGTAAACCCTGGAAAAGTGCACCAACTACAATGTAAGCTAGTGAAGTAGAAGACAAAATAAACTGTTATCCTAATACTGATGATCTTTACTTTTGGCGTTGAAATCTGTTTTCTGTGTACAGTGTTTGGTTTACATGGTGAAAAGTTGAGGTAAATGACTTTACTGTAGTGAACTCCACCCATGTCATTCTGCCAGCAGGCTGAAACAAGTGCTTGGATTTAATTGAGACTCCCGTGTGACCAAGACCAGGCTCGCATATGCAGATACTAATGAAGAAATCCGTCCACACATACCGTGGTGCGGTGTTGTGTCTGGCCTCCTAGCTATCCCCGGTCCAACATTACCATGTTTGAAGCCCAGTGATGCTAATGGCCTAATCCGGAGGAATGCTGTAGTGTCTCTGGGGACGATCTGTTTACATGGACATCCATGTGGCTTTTTAAACAACTGTGACGTCACTGGATACATTGCAGTCGCTCCAAATCCATCTCCGTCTGTTTGTGTACCTGTGTGATTCTGTGGTTGTGGAGCAATTGTACGTCCACATGCAGGATTATGCAAGTACGTTTTTCGTGTATGCCATGAACCTCAGCTGCAGTGTCCCAGGTTTTACAACAGTGCAGCTGTGTTGCATCGGCATTGTTTAATTTCTAAGACAGTGTTCACACAAGGAGATCACTTGAAGAAATATTCTCTCCCTTCTACACCGCATATATGTTTAAAAAAATACTTCAACGTATTTGTCAGCCTCTGCCTTCAGTCTAATAACCTTTGTAATATAAATACAGACAGAGTGACTCGACCATGGGCAGTAATTACTGACACAACCTGTCTTTATGTTTTTATAGGTTTACTGTATAAGTGGTAGCTTGTTGCTGCACACTGAGTTTGGATGGAACACACTCACACACACATGCTTGTTGCTAGTTGTGGGCATTGAATAATACAGTATGTCTGCACAGACACACACACACACACACACACACACACACACACACACACACACACATACAGACTAACTTTTTCCTAACTCTGGTCCTTCCTGCCTCACTGTGTGAACAACCTGTATATACACTCACACACACATCAACATGCACTAACTTGTTGCTAAACTTTGGCCATTGTTTTGGGAGTATTTGGATACATGCATATACTTTCACACATTACTGCCGCCCATGGGAACCTGGGTTTGAACTGCCAGCAACACTTTGAGCTTTCTCCAACAGACTGCCCTGCCCTCTCTCCGGATACGGGCTAAACTTCACCATGGTTACGCTCTTGCCATGGTTACTCTTCCCAAACGTTGCTGTGGCTCTGTTCTCTCACCATGGTTACTCATAAACCCTCCCAGCACCGTTTGATCCCAGCAGATCCGCTCTCTCGGAGAAACATTTCGCTGTAGGCTGGGCGTCCTTACAACCTCTCTGTGCCGTCTTTGCTGGACTCAGTACAATGGGTGGTTTCATTTTGAGAGTCTGATGGGTCAAAGGCTTATTCCAGCTGTGCAGAGGTCCTTTACAGCATGGCCAGCTCTGCTGTAGTCACAGCATTTTCTCTTGTTTTTTCTCAATCATGCTCACTTACTTTAAAAAAACCCTTTTTTTTATAGTACACTTGCGTCTACAGCCCAGGTTTAAGACGATGAATCCTTGATTACTGTATGTGCTTACCTGTGACTGTGACTTTTTCTTACTTATTTGACATTGTCACTGTGCTGTCCACTATTTGTAAAGTTCACCACTGGATTCCCGCTTTTGTGTGACTCTTTTGAAAAGTTCTGAAACCTTAAAAGTTTTATGATAAATGATAAATGCTCTGGAAGTTTAAGAGAAGTTGGGTAATGTGTGTGTTTTGTTTTTTTTAACTTATCCTTTTTAGACAATACATAGCTAAATTACTGCCCTTAAAAAAGCAAATGAATAATAACAATCATTAGCTGAAAACTGCAAAATGCACGGCTAAGCAAAAAGCTACAGGAAGCAATTTAATCATTGTGTATGTCTTCAGATTTCGCATTGCATTTATTGCAGTTGAGTATAGTTACGGTATATCAGAGAAGCCAGAGGAGTCCGTAACTTCTGTGGCTTCTGGATGTCATAACAGTGTTAAAGTAGCGGGCAGTGTTTATGCATGTGGTAATGTTTATAAAGCTGTGGTCCTGTTAGCAGGAATATAATTTCACACTGGTAACAGCTTATCTAAAACATGTGTGTGCAGTACAGAATAAGACCTTGTGTAACATGGGTGTGCTTGCTGTTTGACAGCAGGCAGTGTGTTTCATATACAGACGTTTATACCTGGAAAGTACAGTTACAGTGTTTAGATCATTGGCTGCTTTAGGGAATGTGAACTTTGTTGCTCCATTCAGGGTTTTTTGATTACTATACCAAATTTTGCTTTTGTTAATTACATACTATTGTTGTTTATATTGTTGTTATCTTGATTTTTATGAATGCTTCTTTTCTATTATGATGGATTGGCCACAGACAGGTCACTTTAAGTCAATAACACACAAACACACCGTTGATATGCTGAAATGAAGATGGATGGAGATGACGAATGTTTCCTGAATGTTTTTTTTACTTTAGGAAATCCAGCAAGACACACACATACACACACGCTCTGAGAGACACACACTCACAGAGACACAACAGCACAGTCACGGTGTTGTCGGGAGTCACAGAGACTCCATTCTGTTGGAGGGAACGCCTCTGTTTATTCTCCTTTCCTCGGCCATGTATCAGGCTAAATGAGTCTCTTTGTGTGTTTATTTTCTCAGCCCTTCTGGGGTTATGTTTGGAGGGCTTTGTTGTTTATGCGTACATGATGTGCTTTTGAAAAAAAAAAAAAAAGCATGTATGAAAAGTATAGGCTGCAATTTGAGTGCGTGCATGTGTATATGGTCTTAGAGGCATGAAGGGAGTGCACCAGAATGCCTCAAGCATTTTTCCACAATGACTGTTTTTCCAGTGTATTATATGGCCACTCAGACAATAATGCCCTATTGTTTTGTGTATGTATGTGTGTGTTTATGTTTGTGTGTTCGTGTGTGTACGTGCAGGTACAATGGCTCTCTGCCCAACGGGGACCGAGGCAGGCGCAAGAGCCGCTTTGCACTTTGTAAGAGACCGAAGGCGAACGGGGTAAAACCCAGCACAGTTCACATCGCCTGCTCTCCACAGGCAGCCAAGGTGAAGCACAAAAACACACATACAAACACAAAATACACTATGATGTAGTCATCCCAGGGATTACCGAACTGCAGTCATCGAAACCCCACACATCAGCAGTTTCACTCCTTTTCTTGAACTGAAAGTTTATGTTTAGGTGAGTTTCAAGGCTACAGAGTTCATGAAACACATTACAAACATACTGAGTGATATGGAAAATACATGTGCATCAGTTAGAGAATAGCATTCTTTACTCCTTCTCTTAAAAAAGGTTCGTCTCTGTAGGTGTGCGATTTTATTTGTCTGACAACATCAAATAAAACACACCCAGTTGAGTGGATTTGGCCGCGCTGCTCCACCAAAGGCTTTATTGAAATTCTGTTTGCTTTTGTTCTGTGATATTAAAGTACCAGACACGCATGCGCACACACACACACACACACACACACACACCGTGAACAGGACAGGAAAAGGAAAGAGTTCAGTAAAGCTTCCCTGAGTTAGCAGAAAAGGGAAAACGAGCAGGTACAAGCCTCTGTCAGAGTTACAAAGGAATTTTTACACAGCGTTTAACTGGAAGGTTTATAAGAGAAACAAATGTGAACGGTGCAGTGGAAGGTAACTGAGCGTTTGCTAGCAAAGTCCTGGGAAGCACATGTCCGTGTGTTTCCATTGTCAGTTATACAGCAGCCCAGAAATCTGTTAAATTAACATGAGGCTGGACACACACTTTTGTACTTTCTCACACACACAGGCCAAGGTTTTAGCTGATGTTATTTAGAGAGTCTTGAAGAGCGTTTGTTCTTTAGTTTGGGTGGTCCTAACTGACTGAAAAGATGTCGAGGCTGTGTTTAGTCCAGCTAGTGACTACATAACTGAACTCTTCACCCACTCCACCCTTCCTATGTGTATCTGTTGTTCTCTGCACAGATAAGTGAGCAGGCGTTTTTGCTATAAAGCATGTCCAGGTTCAATCCTCGTGTATGTTTGAAGTGAAGGGTTTGATTTAAGAGCACCTGAACATCTTTACTTTTATCTTTTTATCATCTCTGTGTTCATCTATCCTTCCTTCCCTCTGTCCCATCAGGCCATAAGCAACAAAGACCAGCACAGCATCTCTTACACTCTGTCTCGAGCCCAGACGGTGGTGGTGGAGTACACCCATGACAGCAATACAGACATGTTCCAGGTAACAAGCCTCAGTCACTCCTACTCACATGCTTTCCTTGTTATCAGCACACCTGGTCTGAGATCAGTTGTGCAGACTGTGCACCCTCATTTCAACATGACAACAGTCTGGGAAAAAAAATCTTGTGGTGCGAGCAGCACAACAACTCAGGGATGTTCAAGGTCTTGTAGTCTTCAGGTGGTTTACCAACACAGTCAGCAATGGGAGCACCAGCAGCTTAAAAAAAACCATTGGTGCAGTTTGCAAACAGAATTTGCAAAATCTTACCTCTTGGAGTCATAACTAAGTCAAGTATGAATACACAGACATGATACTTATATTTATAGATTCAGTGTGATGGACACTTCCTGAGCATACCGTTATTTCCAATGTCCATCACAAATAAACGTCCATGAATCCACTTAGAAATAATACAAAAAATATGCTCCAGAACCTTTGTAAGAAAAATCAGGTTTTTAAGTTTTCTTCAGCATCAAAATAATCCAGTGATACTCATTATACTGATTAAATTGCAAACAGGAACTTCTAATAGCTAATTCAGCATACTTCTGATGGTGCCGATAAATCAAAATTTAAAAATATATAGCTAAATGTCTCTATGACAACATAATACTTCTTGTAGAAATCCTCCAAGGCTCCTGAATTATGGGAACTGTGGTTCCAAAACTGAGAGGGGGGTTTAGTTGTGAGGTTGTACAGAATGTCCTCAAGGTTATTATGGGTTTTATGCAGCTTAGCAATGTATGTGAACCAGCTGAAATCTTGGCTCCAAGGTCACCTAGCTACATGCTGTTTTAGAAACAGAAAGCACAAACTGTTTGCGTTTTCTTCCTCGCTATATTTACTTGCAAACCAGTTTTTTGGCATTATTCATCTAAATCATTCTTCTTCTGTTCATAGTCTGTATTATTTTTTTTTAAAGACTTTGTCTCAACTATTCTGTTGTTACACTCTTCTCCAGCAAGTCTCCTCAGAGGGAATAGATTATTGTTTTATCTCATAAATGGAATACATTGTCATCTTGTCTTAAACTTGCAACAACAAATCTCTATCTCTTCACCAGATTGGTCGATCGACAGAGAGTCCCATAGACTTTGTAGTGACGGACACTGTGGCGGGCAGCCAGAGTAACGCAGACACCCAGTCGGTCCAGAGCACCATCTCCCGCTTCGCCTGCCGCATCATGTGCCAGCGCACGCCGCCTTACACCGCACGCATCTATGCTGCTGGCTTCGACTCCTCCAAAAACATCTTCTTAGGGGTGAGCGTTGAGCTGTCTGGAGCTTCAGACACATGTAGGCGAGTGTGAGCGAGTAAAAGGCAGAAAGATGAAGGGAGAAAGCACCAAAGAACCATTTGATATGGAAGATAAAACTCTCCGTGCAAAACCTTTAACCTGATTTCTTTTCCCAATCATGTTTGTTTTTACTGTCCTATCTATTTTTCATTTAATGTCAGAAGCAGACGTCATTCCTCTTGATTTGTTATGGTCATGACAGCAGAGGGGCAACAACAAACGTCCTGTCAAAGTGTCCGTGGCTACAACATGACAAGCTAATTTGATAAAAGAGGAACTGACTCCACATAATTTGCTTTTCAGTCTTGTTTTTTTTAAGCCATAGCAGCATGTCAGTGTGTACAACAAAATGCTACAGCTACACAAGTCAAGGATGAGTTTCTAATAGTACCTGTTCATCCTATATTGTGCTTTGCCCCTGTTGAGTTCAGATGTTCGGGGTTTAGTCACAATATAAATCAGAATATACAAACTTCTAAATCTTAAACAACTGAGTGACAAGATACATGTATTACAGATGTTTGATTTGGAACTACATGATGAAAAATTCAATTGTCCCTGTCCTTATAACACCTTCTCATGTCCTGGTTTTCCTCAGGAGAAGGCTGCTAAGTGGAAGACATCTGACGGTCAAATGGACGGGCTGACCACCAACGGCGTGCTGGTGATGCACCCTAGAAACGGCTTCACCCAGGACTCCAAGCCAGGCGTCTGGAGGGAGATCTCAGTCTGTGGCAATGTTTTCACTCTGCGGGAGACCCGCTCAGCGCAACAGCGAGGAAAGATGGTGAGAAAAGATGCAAAACGTGTAGCTCCACATTCACTGGTGCGCTCAGTGTGCCCAAAACATTCAAAACAGAGATTCAGCTACTGAAGAGCTTTCACAGTCAGGGTGCGCTCATCAAGTGTTTCATCATTGCTGCTTTAGAAAGGAACCGTGCTAGTGGGTTTTCTAAAGGTTTGTGTTTGTGTCTTTCTTTCACCCCCTCCCCTCACTCCAACACTCTCACACTCTTGTACCAACTTTGTGACTCAGGCAGCGGGAGGTTAGTCAGAGCTTAACACCACCAGGGGGTTATCGGGATGCCATCCCCATGGCAACAGGTCCGGCTGTCAAAGCTGTGTGTTACAGGACCTTGTAAGGGGATCCTCCAGCTGACGTCGGAGCCTCTCAGCCAATCATAACCCTCACTCTGCCTTGTCAGCGTGGCCACCTGTGGCATTCCTCTGATTGAATTTAGGTTGTTGGTGGTGTGTTTGATGAGGCTTTATTCCTCCTCCATTCCTCTCCTCTCCATCCTGCCACCCACAACATACACATCATCAACCACGAGCACACAGTCAGCAGTTCTAGCATTAATCCGTCTCTTTATCTGGGGTGCCACCTGTTTCCAAGTCTCTCCAGCGCAGCACAAATTAACAGCTCTCTTATCTGCACCTGCCCTTTACCATCCAGAGAGTTAACTGTGTGTGCATTATCCACCACTACAGAGACCACTCGTTATTTCACACGTGATTGACAATTTAGGTAGTCGGCTATGGGAAAGCACCTATAATAATTATGTACGGTGACAGAACATGATGGGCTTTAATGGTCCGAATGCATACAGGAGACCTCTCAGTGGAGTCCTCTGCGTGTTGATGCTGTCAGAGAGATCATTTTTGGATACATTTTGAAGGATTTTTTTAATGTAAGTAGGCACTATTATTGTATGAAGAAAAAAGACAAACTAGAATCAAAGCTGTAAACTTAAATTAAGCTGCTTCAGCATACGCATCTGCTCTGTATAACAAATGCTCTGTGTTCTCTTTTGAGAAAAAACAAAAGAAACCAAAAGGAAACATTTATTTTATATGTTATTTTTTTTGGCTTTATGATGGCGCCCCCTATTTGCCTACATAGAAAAAGAACTTGTTTCCAATAGCCAATTTTAAACCATATTTGCATGAAGCACTGACATTAGCATTCTATCACAGGCAGAACAGACACACTGAGCCAGACAGCAGCCTGCTACGCAACACAAGAACCACAGTCTCTGAACAGTGGCAGCCTACATTAGCTGTCCTGCTAAAGTCTTCTTCCTTCTTGTCCTGTGTCTTAACTTGCTGAGCGAACGACTAAACAAACTCTCACAGGGGGGAAAGTGCACTGCTAACATCAGTTTGCAGTTCAATGAGCTGAAGCACAGCGTGTAATCTTACCACTCTGGTTTGTTTACAGGGTTCCTGCAGATTCTTAAAAAGTCTTAAAAGGCACTGAATTCATTCATTTAGAAATAAGGCTGTTATTGGTATTAAAATGCATAAGATCATCTTTCAGAAGTCCTAAAAATGCTAAGACACAGGAGGCAGGATTATATAATTTTTTTCTTCCATTCTTTTTGCTTATTCAAAAAACGCCTCTTGCAGTAACGTCATGCAGATCAAAAGGGTTCACTGTCTGTTAGCTCCGCTCCTGTCGTACCCTGGACGACACAGTGAAGTGCAAATTCAACAATTGGCTATTTAACCAAGATTTTTCAGCGTGGCGGACACCAATACAAGGCAATGCATACAAGGCTTGGTGTGTATTATACAGAGGTAGAGCAGGTCGTCCACTAATTGGAAGATCAGCGCTTCAATCCTCGGCTCCTCCAGTCCGCATGTGGAAGTATCCTTGGGCAAGATACTGAACCCCAAATTGCTCACGATGGCTGTTCCATTGGTGTGTGAGAGCCTGTGAATGGTTACTGAGTAGCAGGTGACACCTTGTATGGTATCCTCGGCCATCACTGTTTGAACGTGTGTGTGAATGGGTGAATGTGACATGTAGTGTAAAAGTGCTTTGAGTTGTCGGAAGACTAGAAAGGTGCTTTGCAAGTTCAGTCCATTAATGGGAGTCGAGGCAGTGGCAGGTATATCCAAGTTTCGTTGACGTCAGTTCATTTTTTTGTTCCCTCAATTTTTGTTATTGTAAAATTGCTCTAAAATTTCACTCTGAGTGGCATTAAAAAGACTCTTTAAAAGTCTTTAAGCTAACTTGCCTCAAGCTGTAAGGACCCTGTGTTTAGATGTTGGTGCGGTCCTTACTTTTCAATACCACTAACAACATGCTGTCTGTGCATGACATGTCAACTGAAGCACAAGTTTGTTTACTCTGTCTCTGTTCCCTCCTGGTGCTCAGCCTGCGAGCTGCTGTCAATCAAACACAGACACCGACGGGCCTGTTTAGCCACTGAACTGCAGCATTTCTGATACTTCTATTACAACAATTATATATTATATATTATTATCAACACATTTAAAAAAACACCTTGACATTTGACCTTAATTTCAGTTGTTCTTTGACAACATACAGTCATTTTAGATTAACTTCTTTGAGGTTTGTAATATAATGTAATGCACCCTCCCCTCACCGCTCTGTAAATGGGATAACTGCCCTACATTAGTGAAGGTTAACAGCTGAAGGACTTTCTGATTGAATGGGGGGGGGGGGGGGGGGGGGGGGGGCTTGTTTTTGTTCAGGCATCGCCTGAGCTGAATGTATTTGAGATATCTTTGTTTGTTTGGCACAACTCGCAATAAATCCTGTGGCTTCTGCATTTCTGAGCCAACCTTGACGGTTAGGGTAGACGTCTATCCGCGACGGGGTTTTCTTTTTGTTTTCTTTCTGAGGGGGGGGGGGGGGGGGGGGGGGAATGTCATCTCAGCAAGTTTGCCAAAAAGCTATCTAGCTAGCCTGTGTGTGTCTTTGTGTGTGTATGTTAATAGGCACCTAAAGGGGGCTGCTGAATGAATTTAGGGTTTTAAAATCCCTTGTTTGTTCCCTCGCCTGTCCTTTAAAAAACATCCATTAGAAAAACGGAGAGAACGCTCACTGAGAGAAAAAGATTAAGGCTAAAAATAACAGTAACATTTGTCTTTTTAATGGATGTTTTTATTTATTTTAAAGCAGTAAACACCAGGCATTATTTTAGTAGTTACTGTGAGGTAAAGATGAATGATGTGAGGCGGGTTGGTCTCAGTTTGTGGACGGACTCACTCAGCCTTGCCAGCAGGGCAGCTGCCTGCCCTCCTGCAGTTGGACACAAGGTTGAAGCCAGCTTAATTAGGAATATCTTACAGTGCAGTTCACACACACACACACACACACACACACACACACACACACACATAGAGAGGTTTTCAGTGAGCCTGCTGTAAGGGCTGTTGTGAAGTATAATAAATGAGCACAGTGTCTGAGCCCCTGCTGCGTTTAATAAAAGCTTTTGTGCTGATAAATGTTCGCTTCTGTGTAATTTAATTATAACTGTGTGTCGAGGGTGAGAGTGTGCGGATGTTTACATGGATCGACTCGACCTGGAGCGCTCAGATCATTAAACCTGAGTGTGGTAATTTATTGATCAGACAAACACTTTTTCAAACTGTCATCCTTTCCTTGACGTGGAGGTGGGTTATTGATTAGAGGAGCAGCCATGTGACTCCAAAGTTTCTGGTTTGAAATCAGCTGAACAGCTGGGAAAATCTGAGCAGGGAGGGGAGAAAAACAATAACAACTGTCTCCCTCGAGCGAGACGCTGAACTCTTACCCGTTCCAGTTGAGCAGCTTGTTGGCCAACAGTAGAAAGACTGTGGTTTTACTGGGCAGATGTGAATGTGTGTTACTGCATCAGTGTGCGAGAGCTTAGCGAACCTTCCCGGGATGAATGAAGGTTAAAAACTGTCACCAGGAGGGACACATCAACCTGTGGCGGTGTTGTGCTGCCGCCACAGCAATGTGTTTGCCCCGAGCAACTCAGTGACCTCGGCGCCAGCGTTAGTATGGGTGACCTCACCAAAGAGCCCTGGGAGCTCCCCGCTTCTGTGTATCACTCTTTTAAAAATAGTTTTTTCGTCCCTCCCTGTGCGCTCAGTCTTTCTCTCTTCATCCTCTCATTTTTGTCTATCTCTGGTTATCTAAATGTGGAATTTCCCCTCAGCGTCTGATCTGTGCCTCATCAAGACTGTAGTTTACCAAATTTTCCAGCAGCTCTCAGTCCTGTTCCTCCACCCACTCACCCCCTTCGTTGCTCTTTTAATTTCCTCATGTCATCTTGCCTCCAGCTGTCAGCCCCCCTGCCTCCTCCCTGAGCCACACAGCTGTCTGAGGTGTGCCTGCGTTACACTGCCACCTGCTGTGTCCACACGAATACTACTATAAGGCAGTCCATCCGTTTTCAATCTCTTATCCTGTTCAGTGTCACAAAATGAGCTGGAGGTGTTGCAGGGTGCATACAGGAAAGTCACTAGTCCTTGAGAGAGGCTGGAATCAGTTCAGTATAAGTGAAAAAAGTAATGTTTGAAAGATGTGAAAAATCAGCAGCTTTTGTCTCTCTGTCATTTTGGACTGAAACTTTTTATAGAAAGACATTTGAGGATCATTTTTCATTATTTTGTGGACTTCTCATAAACTAAAAGATAATGTCAGTGTGTCAGTGATAGGTAATATAAAATCATCTTTAGTTGCATCGTTAATATTGTCATTTTACAAAGCTACATTTACACAAATACATCAGCTTCCATCTGTAGTGTTTCAACAGCAGTAAGGCTCGAAAAAACTAATCAAGTGAAAAGTCAGTGAATGTATTATGGTTATTTTTAGCTAAGCTAGCGGGGGGCTCTGGGGATGGCAGTGTGGGTTGGTCTGGAAATGTCTCAAAATATTATTGTAGATAGTTGTCAGGAAATTGTACTGACTTTGATGATCTCCCAACTTCTTATCTAACATCATCCATCGTGTACAGACGTTCATGTTAATGTTATCCACAGGATGAATTGTAATCAGGTCTGTAGCTACCACTGGGGGAAACAGAGTTCATGTGCTCTGTGTTTTTTCTGGGAATTTGACCTTGAGTGCAGGTTATATTTTATTATTTAAAATTGTAGATGCAATGACCTTAAAATGTGCCAGTGTTTAAGACAAAGTAAGGTTAGAAAAAGTAAGAGATAGATAATGAATAGATACAAACATTTAAAAACTGTTTGAACCAAATGTTATTCTTGGAGATCAAACTCATACAAATATTCTTTAGAAAATCATGTAGAGAAACTCAAAGGAGCCTCTTTGCAGAAATGAAATATAACATTCCTAGGCATTTGTTTTCATAATGTATAATCACCTTAATCTAAGAATAGTTGTGTTTTCATTACCTTAGAATGAGCTGTTCATGTCTACATAGGGAGCTGATCCTTTTCCAGTGAGTCCTCCATGTTGCACCTCCATGGAAAGGACAAACCAAACACTGGCTCTAGATAGGGCCATTCTCATTTTACATTGCCTGAAGGCCATTACAGGTTCTCCAATACACTTGGGAAGGGAGGGATGAGCAGAGGAGTATTAAGTTGGTTACAGTCTGCAACCTCATCACTAGAAATCCTATATACTGGACATTTCAAGGGTTTTTAGATGCAGAGTTAGTGTGACCTTTTAAAGATGTTTCCAACTAAAAGTCATTCCTGGTGGAGCAGAGGAACCTCCTAGAAATATTCATTAATTGAAGACAATATTTTACTTAAATATAATTGAACAGATGAATGAATTAGTTTTACAAAAGTCCTTGACATTACCTGGGGTTGGACAAGCTGCTTGGACACACAACCTCCGTATTTCTAAAATCCTCGCTACTGCCCTGATTGTCACATCGTGTCTTGTTTGATATTCAGTGATCTGAGGGTTCAACCTGCTGTATTTTGTATTTAAATACTTCTGTTGTCTGTAGCAACTCATCTTTATAATGTGCCTCTGTTCCAGGTGGAGACTGAGAGTCAGGAGCTGGTCGACGGCTCTCTCATCGACCTTTGTGGCGCGACTCTGCTGTGGCGTACTGCCGAAGGCCTGTCTCGCACCCCCACCCTCAAACACCTGGAGGCGCTTCGGCAGGAAATCAACGCAGCCCGCCCACAGTGTCCCGTGGGCTTCAACACGCTGGCCTTCCCCTCCATGCGTCGCAAGGACACGCCAGACGAGAAGCAGCCCTGGGTCTACCTCCAGTGCGGCCACGTGCACGGCTACCACAACTGGGGCAACCACCGCGAGGAAAGGGAGGGCCGGGAGGGCCGGCAGAGGGAGTGTCCCATGTGTCGAGCTAAAGGGCCATACGTGCCGCTGTGGTTGGGCTGCGAGGCGGGGTTTTAAGTGGACGCCGCCCCGCCCACTCACGCCTTTAACCCCTGCGGCCATGTTTGTTCAGAGAAGACAGCGGGCTTCTGGAGTCAGATCCCGCTGCCACATGGCACGCACACCTTCCACGCCGCCTGCCCCTTCTGTGCCCAACAGCTGACTGGTGAGCAGGGCTTCGTCAGACTCATCTTCCAGGGACCCCTCGACTAGCAGGGCGACTTCCCAGCATCCTTTGGATAAAGCAGAGCGGGGAGTTTTTTTTGTTAAGACCCTGCTATGAAAACGGGGAGCGACACAGATTTGTTTTCTTTCCTCTGCAGTTAAGATAAAAACTTTTTTCTGGACTTTTTGTCTCTCTCATTTTTAAGTGACCTTTGTATTGCTTTTTCATGAATGACGACAAAGATTTCTATATTTTCACGTGAAACCAGAGACACAAAAACCAAACAGAGAACACTGCTGGGTAAACCTTTTGTTCGTTTCTCGGAAAGAACTTTCAACAACAGTATTTTTCTAAATTACTAATGTACCGTAGTGCAAATGTACGGTTTTTATTCATGTTTATTGTTGCAATATACATCTGTGTACATCTCTTAGAGCTAATTTAAACAAAGATGTTTATTTATGGCCCAGGAACCATCGCTTCATCCTATATCTGTCAGATATGCCTAACATCAATACTATTTAGCATTTTAATTTGAAAATACAGTATATTGTTAATCCGATATAAAGTTCTAGGTGTGTTCTGAGGGTTTCGTTCCTTGTCCCTCCCCGTCCATGTTCACCCCTCAGATCTGTTTGTCGTATTTATACACCCCGTCCTCTGGCGTGCTCTCACCCTGTGTGTTAACCCCTCAGTTACTTCTCGCCTTTTCACATTCAAAGCAATAGATTTGGAACGGAAACCTCCTAAAGCATTATGGAAGTCCTCTGGGCGTCTGTGTAACACTCAGACAGCCTGAATGGACTGCTCCCTCCCTTTAAAGTCCGAGTGAAACATTTCTGTGGGTGAGTGAATCTTTTCTGATCACATGTTAGCCATGATACCGCAGCTATGTAGCACACACACAAACATACACACACACACACACACACACACACACACACACACACACACACACAAACCAGACCTGGTTAAATACTTTTTATTAATTAAAAGTGTAAAGGAACTTGCACCCAAACATTTATTGTACAAAAATAAGAATATAGATGTTACAAGTGCTGTTTATTCCTTACTCTGCTTCTCTGCTGTGATGTTTGGGGCTCACCTGCACAGGTACAGCAAGAATGACACCCATTGTTTTGCCAGATACAGTATTCTGATCAGTATTAATCTGAGCTTAGAAAGTTATTTATGCTTTAGGCATCTTACAACAACATCCTGACTGTTTTTAACCAGATATTTAAATGAAAACTTTCGCTCCAGCCAGTATTGGAAGATGCTGTTAGAGGCTGATAAATGACGTGGTTTATTTTAACACTGATTTACGGCACCGTTTCCGGCATGATTTTAAACACTAGTCATGATTTATGAGAGGGAGGAATTTCAGTGTGCTTCTCTGTCTCTCTCAGCTGATCTGTACCAGTGCAGGAAGTCCCATCTGTCTGAACACAACATAAGATAAACTGTAGCTGTTTGACTCAGGTTTGATCCACACAAACACATGCATGGCTTCACGTTAGAAAATTGTCTTCATGGGTGTGTGTGTGTACTCATCAGGGCTTCGTATTAATTTGTGCTTTCCAAACAGTGTGCTGAAGTGGCCCCATGGATCATTTTAGGGGCAACGAGCTGTACAGTGTGAGAGCAAAATATCAAGACTGCCTTCTCTTTTATTAACCATGATGAGAACTGTTAGCTCTCTAATAACGGTCACAAGGGCTAAATGAGAGTGCCGTTAACGATGTCAAAACAAGCTTTTAATTTCAGCAGCTTTATTGAAACACAGTTGCCAACAGATCAATTTGTGATAAATGTGGTTCAAATAAGAGCCTGCAGTTTAATTAAACATTAATTCTGTGAGGTGGACAAACAACAGAAAGAAACTCTTGTCCGTTGTCTGGTTTATATGTTCCTCCCAAACCAGTCAGTCACAGAAAAGTCAACTTCTATGTAAAACCTGCTATTTTTTAAAAAAAAAATTGACCAGTTGTGTTTCATTAGAATGAATTAACGTGACATAAATATCAATAGCAGCACTGTTTGTTCAGGAGCTCATTGATATTTTGGTCCTGACCAGTCAGGAACGAGTACTAATGTAGTACTGGTTCGTAATACCCATCCTTAGTTTATCCCACATTTAGTGCTAAATGATTAATCATTTTTATATTAACATCAAATCTGGAATGGAGCAAGTAATCACAGCTGTGATTTTTATTTTTTTGGTGGGGTTTGGGGGTGTTTAATCCTTTATTATGTAGTCATTAGAAAGATGACAGAAAATGAGGGGATAGAGAGACAAAGCTTGAAACAAAACCAGAGACGTTGGGGTTCATGGCCGGCGTCTCAACCTGGAGTCGCCATCTTCCTATCTTAGATTCAACCAGCCATAATGACAACTGTCACCAACAAATTAAAACAAACCATCTGCTTTATTGGTAGGTAGGAGTCAACATGAACCTGAGCCCTGAAAAATAGAAATCAAAGCATCTACAACTCATGACAAACTCCGCACGCTGAGGAAGATCACGCAATTTGATTGAAAGCTGGGTAACAGCCATGAAATGGACCTTGTGTTTAGTCTGCTACTGCCCCCATTTACCCTTCACACTACCTTCACAACAACACACACAGACTGAGACAAAATGCTGAGTGCAGAGAAGACAGTCCTGATGTTTTGCACATTATGTGTAAGCACAAATTCTCCCAGCCTCCCGCTGCTGAGTGCACACACAACACATCCTGCATCCTATTAACTCATGAGAACGAGACACACACTTGAACTGTAGAAACTTCCCAGCAGTGAAACAGCTTCGCTGATCAGTCACTTCCAAACTGTCCGCAATACCTTCGTCAGTGTACACAGGAGTGTGTGTGCGCGTGAGTGTGTGCGTGAGAGAGAGAGAGATTGTAATTTATGTGTTCACGATGATTGTATGTGTGCAGTTTTCAGTTTGTGTGTGTTTATCCATCTGTCCAAACACACACACACACACACACAGTATCATTTCCATCACCCTAGTGCTCGGACTGCAACACACTAACTCACCTCAGGGAGAAAACAATGACTTGTGTCACCCCCCAACACACACACACACACACACACACACACACACACACACACACACACACACACACACACAGCTAAGGTCTTCTGAGGATACCTCATAAGTACAAAAAAATCTATTCTGGATTTGAAGTCGTGTCTCCTTCACCCAGTTTTTGTTTCGTTTCATGGAGGCATCTCGTCTCTGTGTGTGTGAGTAAGGGCTTCACTCTGTCTCTGTACTGTTATCTCAGCCCTGTTTTAACACAAACACACGTCCGCCTCCCTCCACTCCGCTCTTCTTCTTCTTCTGTCCGGAGTCTCCTTGTGCTTGTAAAGGCGAAAGCAAAGAATGTTTCCAGCAAACACTTTTTTGTAACAACTTTAAACAATAAAGTGTAAAAGTGGCATATTTCACTGTGTGTGGGGCTATGATTTAAAAACAGTTGTGTTTTACAGCTTAGAAATACAGAGAACAAAAATTTAAACACAACATTTTTGTGTGTGTTTGCTACTTTAAAATCTAAGACTTTTGATGCACTCAACAGATATATTTCTCTCAAATCTTGTTCCACAGAGCCCTGTTAGTGAGCACTTCTCCTTTATCAAGATAATCCATCCACCTGACAGGTGTGACATATCAAGACGCTGATTAACCAGCATCGTTACTACACAGGTGTGCCGTGGGATGGTCTGACAAAAGAGAGGTGCTCACGAACACAGAGTTAAACAAATTTGTGACCAAAATTTCTATCAAGTGCATAATAAAGTCTTAGATCCTTATCTTCAACCTGTGAAAATGGGAGCAAAAGCACAAGTGTGAGGTTTAAATTTTTCTTCAGTGTCGTTACCAGAGAGGTGGATATATGTGCAATTATAATAAAAAACATTTGGTCAGTACTTTGTTTTTTATAAGGAAGGAAATGCATTTAACACATTTGTTTGACCTCAAGGATACACACAATAGACCTGTTTCACAGCAGACATTTTGACTTGTCATGGTAGGTAAAACACAGGTGTATTTCATAACATCAGTGATGGCTGCATTCCACTTATGGGGGGCTTTGACAGTGTGCATGCTGCCTCACTGGAATAGCATACTGGGACACTAATTGACATCGTTAATGTCATCAATTTCACCTGTGCTTTTCCCAATATGACTCGTCAAAATGTCTTGTGAAAAAGGTCTATTTGTACGGAAGCATATTGCATTCACTTGACAAATTAAGAAAAATCTGTTTTATTGAGTAATTTTTTCTGTTTTTCTATTTTTTGGTGTAATTTTTTCTGGTTTTTATGGTAATTTTGTTTCTGTTTTTTGTGTTTTTGTTTCTTTTTCAGGGTAATTTTTTCTTTTTCTGAGTATTTGTTTCTGAGTTAGGAGAGCAATAGAACAACAGACTTTCATTCCTTTCTTGAGAGCTTGATATAATGAAAGCAAACATGACCTGCTTGTTTAGTCCAGTTTTACTTTGTTTTGGGTTTGAGACACTAGGAGATACTCTTGTCTTTAAGTCATATAGATGGTGTTATCATTAGTTTGTTGACTTTACGCAGGCACCTTAAGACTTTGCGGTTGTTCAGATGAAAAGCCCATTCAGATCTGCTGGACATTGCAGTGTTTCTCCAGAAACAAAGTAAAACTGGATTAAACTAAACAAGCGGGTCATGTTTGCTTCCATTATATCGAGCTCTCAAGAAAGGAATGAAAGCATCTGTTGTTCTATTGCTCTCTTAACTAAAATACTCAGAAAAACAGAAAAAAATACCCCGAAAACAAAACAAAAAAAACACGAAAAACAGTAACAAAATTACCACGAAAAACAGAAAAATTACACAGAAAAACAGAAAAATAAAAAAATTACTCCGAAAAACAGAAAAAAATACTCAATAAAACAAAAAATTTTTATTTGTCAAGTGAATGCAATACGCTTCGGTAGTGATGAGACACCATTATGAAAGGGACGTAAAACTTCTGACAGAAGTTACAGGACACCTCCAACTGCTAATAGGGTAAGCTATTACTCTTTTATAAATTTTTAATCTGTTGTATATTTGTAAAATTTTCCCAGACCCTAGAAAAACTACATTTATTTTCGTGATGTCTGGAGCTGCAACCATTCGTCGATTGGCAACAGCTGATAATCAAAGAATGCTTCTAGTGGTTTTCTAAGGTGATGCAGGGCAACCACCAGTCTTTCAGAAAGAAGGCTTTCACCCCGTCAAGATAAGGTTCTACAAATCCATGATGTGGGCAGCATGCACTCTTGTCGCCACCCTGTTTCAGGTGTATGTAAGCATACACAAGCCATATGCTCTGATGAAGGTCAACAGACTTTTCGGTCTAAGGGCTACGCTTAAGAATAAAGTGAAACATTGCATAGATGTAAGGGGTGGAAAATCTTTTCTACCGGTAGGAGCCAGACACTTGCTGGTTTCAAGCTTCTTAATGTGAGAGATTTATGATTTTATTTGTCATACATGATAATAAAAACTGAACAGCTTTTGTAATGTTTTATTGACAAAATGATTGATCGAGAAATATAAGGCAGATTAATCAATAATGTAAATCAGTATTTACAGTCATAACAATGTAATCTCATTGAAAAGTAAGAATAGTAAGAATCTGATTGAGAAACCAGGGCTTTCAATGTTCTTAAAAGGTCAAAATCTAAAAGGAAAGTCAAAGAAAGTGGGTGAGAAAAATTCTGACATCAGAGACGGTAACTGTGATGCGTACATGTCACCGAAACCTGAGCATCTTCTTCTGCCCAAGTAGAGCGCTTTGGTGAGGGTCGACTCAACGGTCATTACGGTCTTTCTGATCCCATTTTCGGTGTAGGTGTCTTCATCAACCATCTTTTTGTTCACCTGTTGAGTAGCAGAGAGACGGTTTCACCCTGTTGTTAAACTGTTCAACACATGATGATTAAAATCCCATAAGGTGCCCCTGCACGTGTACCTTCACAAACAGGTCCCGCAGATGTTCATTCTCTGTGTCAGCTGATGCAAGCACCTCGGCCAGTTTGACGAACATATGTGATCCTGCATTTGTCATCCAGGCCACAAAGTCTGCGAGCAAACAAACACAGCTTTAGGTTTGCTTTTATGTTTTAGTCACTTTAAAAATGATTAATATTTAGATATTACCTGGTTTTGTTGGATAAGCGACAAACATGTGAGGAATCAGTGGTGACCGAAACTTGTTCATGTAGGCTCTGTGACCATATGTTTCCATCTGTGCACTCAACTGAGCCATCAGGTGATAATCTCTCTCTTTATCAGCACACACACCGGGGTCCTCCATGTCTAAAAACAGCAAATTAAACACAGTTTTTACATTTGTTTGAATTGTTTTCTATACCGACATCTGAAACAATCAGCATTTTGTGTTTAATGATGGAGCACTCCCTCATTTTTTTGGTACTTGCTGTCATTTCCCTTTTCCTCAGTTCATTTTAGCTGAATGTCAGGATTCCCCTGAGTTGATTGGAGGGTTATTTAAATCACCTGTTGCACAGGGTGTGCTGCAGCATGACTCCTTATTAAGATTTTAGAGCAGCTCGGTGCATTTCACCTCTCAGCCAGTCAGGGTGTGAAGACGCCCTTTATTAAAAGCTTAAGACAGGTTGAGAATTGTGCATCCAGTGCATTTTGATCCTTCCTTGACCTAATGCTGACTACATGTTCACAGATATTGTTACACAGAAATTCTGCTCTCTAGGTCCTTAAAGTCTTTGTTGTCTTTTACTCTTCTGAATGAGGGTGATTTTGAGCTTTGAGGGAATTTTAAAGCAGTGGTTCCCAACTGGTCGGGTCTCAGGGTCTAGATTTCTGCTTAGTCATTAGTTAAAGGTCCACACAGCTGAATACCTTCAGCGTCATACTTGTGTTTGGCCATGTTGTCAGGCTAGTTTGCTGTCTCTGTCAAGTAGCTGTCTGTTAGTCAGTCACTCTAGAGCAGGAAATGGCACTTTAGAATAAAAGCTTTGTGCTGAAAATCTGCTGTACTTAAAAATAAAGTGTGTTTTATACAAACTAACTTTGACAAGTTCACGTGTCACTTGCAGTCCATTCAGAATGAGCCCAGGACCCACTTTTGGACCACGACCCACCAGTTGGGAACCACTGCTTTAAAGATCACCTTTCCATAAAGTTACATCAGCCCAGTTACCACAGAAAATGTTGACATTGTACGTTTCTGCGAATTGTCTATACTATAATTAGCAGCGTTCACAGACAAACATCTGGACACATTTTCCCCAGAAATACAAAATGCTAACGTTATTAGCACAAGCCTATGGAATTTTACATTGTCTAAATTAGCTTAGCAGCTAGCGATCTTTTCCTCTTCTCATATAAAACCAGGGACAACAGCAACATTTAACAAAGGTAACGTTACATAATTTGGCTCCATTACAACTCATAAGGTTCACTGACAAAACAACTGTCTCATACTTAGCATGTTTTCCAAACAAATACAACATGCTTACGTTATTAGCACAAGCCTATGGCATTTTACCTTATATAAATTAGCCTAGCGACAAGCGGAGATTTTCTCTGTGTCACCAAAACCAGGTGTTTCAAACCACAATATCATCTTAACCTAACCACAACAATGTGTTTTAGTTGCTTAAACATAACCACACTTAAACCATCTCAAGGTGGAGGGGATAGTGGATTGTGAATTATCTAGACAAAATCGCTGCCAAGCTGCAGACCACTGTTGGAGACCAAAAGGTCAACAAAGTTGGCTGGTTTTTACCAAGTTCAGTGACAAAGCTGGGTATTCTAAGCCATAGCATGATCTTTCCTACCCAGAACTATGGGTCTTGTGCCTAAACATAACAGCACATTATCCACAATGTTGTTGAAGCATAAAGTTTCAGTTGCATATTGGTGGATTGCAGAAATTTGCTTCTCCAAGTAAATATTTTTTATATCATGTGGTTGTGAACCAGTTCTCAGGCTGCTCCCTGATCAGCTAAAGTCAGGGGAATCAGTGCCACCACAATGATGTTAACTCAATAATCAACACCAGTCTGTTGAATTACATATAATACTGTGTTGACGTCCCCACTTCACTCAGTTCATGAAAATAACAGTTTGAACCAATTTCATTAGACACAGCTGGATTCTACTCACGTCCCCTGCAGGCATCAAGCATGAAAACCTTTGGTTTGCCCCTCAGCTTGGGGCACTGTTGATCATTGAAACAGTGAATGATTTCGTCCACTTCCAATGTATTTTCCCATGGATCTATGATGACGTTGCGGTTTCCGTGGGAAGAGGTCACCACAAACACACAGCTGATGTCCTCATGACTGCGGTTGATTCTGTCTCTGAAGGATCTCAGTTTATCTCTCATTTCCTGATTCCCCACAAACACCCCCCCCAAAAAAGGAAAGAAAT